CCCTCCCCCCTCCCTCCCTCCCTCCCTCCCTCCCTTCCCTTCCCTCCCTCCCTCCCTCCCCCTCCCTCCCTCCCCTCCCTCCCTCCCTCCCTCCCTCCCTCCCTCCCTTCCCTCCCCTCCCCCTCCCTCCCTCCCTCCCCCCCCCCCCCCCTCCCCCTCCCTCCCTCCCTCCCCTCCCTCCCCTCCCTCCCTCCCTCCCTCCCTCCCCTCCCTCCCTCCCTCCCTCCCTCCCTCCCTCCCTCCCTCTCCCTCCTTCCCTCCCTCCCTCCCTCCCTCCCTCACTCACTCACTCACTCACTCATGCATGTCTGTGCTCGTCCGCGAGCAGGTCAGCAGGTGGCGCTGCACAAGACAGGGCCGGGCAGAGAGAGCATGATAGGGCTGATAGACACCAAGTGCCGCCCCTTTGAGGTGGCCCGGAACGCCATCGATGACGCCAGGACGCTGTGCAGCCGCACCTATGGCAACGCTCCCGAGGTCCACGTCTTCGGCGACCCCACCTTCACCTTCCCGTGCGTTGCCCCGCCTACCCTTACTCCTCTGCTCTCCCTCCACTACTCTCACCCCACCACCCTCACTCCACCACCCCCAATCTCCATTACTCTCACTCCACCACCCCCAATCTCCGCTGCTCTCACTCCACCTCTCACTCCAATGCTCTGGCGTGCTTTAGTTCCGCTGAACTCCACTAGCGGAACCCCTATCCGCTTCTCTGTGTTATGTTCTCCTGTCTGTACACGTGTGCTCTGCTCTGCACTGTCAATCAGTGGTCGCCTTGCAGTAGTTGTGCTGCTCTGCTCTGCACCAGCCATCTCATCTCACCCCTGGCTTGCTCTTGATCTTCCCCGCTCTCTCTCACACCTCTTCCCTGTTATTGTTGCTTCTTCCCATCCCCATCCCCCGCCCCCCGCCCCCCGCCCCCGCTCCCAAAACCCCCTTCTCTTCCTTCCCCCCGGTTCCCACCAGAGCTATGTGTGGAAGCACCTGTTTTTGAGGCGCCTCAAAAATAGACCCCGATTCCCACCAGAACTATGTGCGGAAGCACCGTGCTGCTTTCCCTGCTCAGCAGTTCTCTCAGGGTCATGCAGCGGTGATTCTGTCACGGCTGTAGAGTCGACTCAGGAGTCTTCCCATTCGCGCCACTCCCATTCCCCCGATTCCCACCAGCTATGTGCGGACGCACCTGCACCACATGCTGTTCGAGCTGCTCAAGAACTCCCTCCGGGCCGTGCAGGAACGCTTCCCTGACTCACAGCCGCCGCCGGTGCGAGTGGTGGTGGCAGATGGGATCGAGGATGTCGCCATCAAGGTCAGCCAGTCAGCCAGTCAGCCAGCCAGTCAGCCAGCCAGCCAGTCAGCCAGCCAGCCAGCCAGCCAGCCAGCCAGCCAGCCAGCCAGCCAGCCAGCCAGCCAGCCAGCCAGCCGGCCAGCCAGCCAGTCAGCCAGCCTGCCAGCCAGCCAGCCAGCCAGCCTGCCAGCCAGCCAGCCAGCCAGCGGCCAGTCTGGCATGTAGGCGGTTTCTCCTGTCGTTGTTGTAAGCATGCGTCCCTCTTCTGTGTGTTCCGCCCTTATCCTTTTCTGAGACCCTTATTCTCACCCACCCATCGGCAGCTGTGCCCCTGAGGTGCAAAATTGCCAACAGTCTTCCCTCTCCAAAACCCATCACGGCCAATGGCAGGTGTCAGACGAGGGGGGAGGGATCAAGCGCAGTGGCTTGCCCCGTATCTGGTCTTACCTCTACAGTACAGCATCCATACCCACTCCCCGACACAAGCCCCCAGGCCCAAACACCCCCAGCGAGTCACAACCCTCCACGCCCACTTCATCAGCACCTTCCTCCCCCAACTCCTCTCCTCCTTCCACCCCCTCCCCTCCCTCCGCCATCTCTCTTGCCTCCTCACCTGCCTCCTCTGCTGCTTCATCCCCTTACGCTTCTCGGTTCACTCCTATCGGCAGCAGTTTTGCTGAGCCCTGGGAGTTGACAGAGGGGGAGGGGGAAGTGCCAGCAGACGGAGTGGGGGATGGAGTGAGTGTGAGTACCATGGCGAGTGTTGACGGGGAGGAGCTGCCTAGCCTGATCGCTGGTTACGGTTACGGGTTGCCGATTGCGCGACTCTACGCACGATACTTTGGGGGAGACCTGCAAATATTCAGCATGGAGGGATACGGTAGGTCAGGCTGGTTGTTTTGTGAGGGGGGGGCGGGCGGAGGGGGGGGTCTCACACGGGAATTCTCCAAAGAATGAGAGGCTGGGAAGGAATCATCCAATGCCAATCGCCTGCTGTCCAGCTCACAGCACACAGCACACGGCACATGGCACACGGCACACAGCACACAGCTCAGGGTGCACAGCACACAGCACACAGCGCACAGCGCACAGCGCACAGCACACGGCACACGGCACACGGCACACGGCACACGGCACACGGCACACGGCACACAGCACACAGCACACAGCACACAGCTCAGGGTGCTTAGCACACAACGCACAGCTCACGGCACACAGCACACGGCGCACAGCTTGTGCACATTCGGTTTAAGGTTCCTAGTGTGTTACTTACCACACCACTGCCCCTTTTTCTCACCTTATGTGCTGCTCTCTCCTTTCCAACCCCATTCCCATCAGGTACTGATGCCTATCTTCATCTCAACCGGCTCAGTAACGTGCAGGAGCCTCTTCCCTGACCTCGCATCTGTTGTGATAAAATCGGTCTCCTGCACCACTCGTCAAATTCTTTCAGCAGCCACACACACACTCACACGCACACACAGCATTCCGCCTGTGCATGCTGCTGTTGTAACATAACATCGTTCATTTATGTACGTAATAGTGAATCTCCATGGTATACATTCTGCTAGCGCAAGAGCCTTTCACAGTTGTGACTGGATTGTGCACATATGGATGGATTGCACATGAACAGTGCTACATGCTCAAGTGCATGGGGGGCATGGGGGAGCATTGCTAGCATGATACCGTATGAGCAGTGCAACCTCTGTCCCTAAGGCAGTTCAGAAAGGGGGAAGGAGCAAATGGTGGCCTGGGAGGAAGAGCAACGGGCGAGTGGAGGAAGGGCAGGAGGTCAAAGCCATCAGTTTGAGATAATAAAGGCTGGCTTCAAGAGAGCCCCTCTTGAAATGGGGCACGTCTGAACTCTTTCCAAACATAGTGTTAGGAGCGCGTTAAAAGTTTCAGCTGCACAGGGCAGAGCGCAAGGCCCCTCTACGACAGGGAGGGCGACAACTGTGGACAGCATGCACGGACAAAGTGAAGAGAGCGCAACATCGCATCTCAAGCGATTGCTTGCACGCACAGCCAATGTAATGAGAGTGGGGCGTAGGAGGGGAGCTGAGGCGAGGGAACAACAGCAGCAGCATGCACGCATGGTATATGACAGGAGATGAATGACATGGGAGAACCAAAAAGGATGCTGCCTGGCTCATGTACCTTCGTACCTCTTGGGGCCAGCACATCCTGAGGCTGGCAGGGCTCACCCGGATGCTGCTAGGGCTCACCCGGATGCCGGCAGGTGGAGATAAGCTGGGAAGGTGGGCAGGGAGGGGAGGGTGGGAGGGGCGTGGGAAGGTGGGCAGGGAGGGTGAGGCCCAGCCTCGCCGGGCCAGCATTGTTGGTGCTGGACGCATGTGGTGAGGTGGAGGTAGCACGGTTGTATGGTGAAGCACTTTGTGCGTGGACCCAATGCCGCCGCTGCACACACACAGCCGCAACCGGAATCTGATGGCCAGGGGCTCTGCTTGGGGCTGTGTGTGCGCTGGGGCAGCAACACAGGGTATCTAGGTCATGGGCGAAGGTTACAATTTCTCACTGCCTCACCTCTGCACCACCATAAGCAATGGGCTCACCGCTCTGCTGTGCCGCCAAGGGCTGGGCTGACTGCTGCTCCTGCTGCTGAAAGGGCCAGGGGGGTGAGACGATGGTCATGCGTCGTAGGGAAGAAAATGATTAATGCCTAGTGGCCCCCTGATTCCGGCAGCCATGTCCGTCCCCTCACCACCTCTTGTAAGGGCAGGGTTGAGCCTATAGCCATGCATGGTAGGGCGGGAAAGTTGGAAGGCAAAATGGCCCTCTCATGCCAGTAGCCCTATCCATCCCCTCCCCACCTCTTGTACGGGCGGGGTTGAGCCTACAGCCATGCATGGTAGGGCGGCAAATGATGAAGGACTATTGCCAGCCATGTCCATCCCCTCCCCACCTCTTTTAGGGCGGGGTGGAACCTTTCACCATGCATGGTAGGGCCGCAAATAATGAAGGCATATGCACGGGGTGCATGAGGTGCATGGGGTGCATGGGGTGCACGGGGTGCACGGGGTGCATGAGGTGGATGGGGTGCATGGGGTGCATGGGGTGCATAGGGTGCATGGGGTGCATGGGTGCATGGGGTGCACGGGGTGCATGGGGTGCACGGGGTGCACGGGGTGCATGGGGTGCATGGACTGCATGGGGTGCATGGGGTGCATGGACTGCATGGGCTGCACACGGTACGTGGGGTGCATGGGGTGCACGCGGTGCATGGGGTGCACGCGGTGCATGGGATCCATGGGGTGCATGGGGTGCATGGGGTGCAAGGGGTGCATGGGGCGCACGGGGTGCATGGGTGCAAGGGGCGCATAGGGTGCGGGTGCATCGGGTGCATCGGGTGCATCGGGTGCATCGGGTGCATCGGGTGCATCGGGTGCATCGGGTGCACGGAGTGCACAGGGTGCACGGGGTGCATCGGATGCGTAGGGAGCATAGGGTGCATGGGGTGCATGGGGTGCATGGGTTGCACGGGGTGGACGGGGTGCACGGGTTGCATGGTGTGTATGGGGTGTATGGGGTGCATGAGGTGCATAGGGTGCATGGGATGCATGGGGTGCATGGGGTGCACGGGGTGCATGGGGTGCATGGGGTGCATGGGGTGCATGGGGTGCATGGGTGCATGGGGTGCATGGGTGCATGGGGTGCACGGGGTGCATGGGTGCATGGGGTGCACGGGGTGCATTGGGTGCATGGGGTGCACAGGGTGCATGGGGTGCATGGGTGCATAGGGTGCACGGGGTGCATGGGGTGCATGGGGTGCATGGGGTGCATGGGTGCATGGGGTGCACGGGGTGCATGGGGTGCATGTAGTGTGGTGCATGCGGTGCACGGGGTGCATGGGGTGCATGGGGTGCACGGGGTGCACGGGGTGCATGGGGTGCATGGGGTGCATGGGGTGGATGGGGTGCATGGGGTGCATGGGGTGCATGGGTGCATGGGGTGCACGGGGTGCATGGGTGCATGGGGTGCACGGGGTGCATGGGGTGCATGGGGTGCACGGGGTGCATGGGGTGCATGGGGTGGATGGAGTGCACGGGGTGCATGTGGTGCACGGATTGCATGGGGTGCAAAGGGGGGGGGGATGCGAAGGGAATTTAGCCATATGAGGTAGAGACGCAGCAGCAGCAGCAGCAGTAGAGTCACTGTCAGCAGGGCGTGCGCAGCGCAGTGACTGCCTGCCGTGCGTCATCCCACTGCCGCTCCTCCCTGTGCGTCCTCCCTCTGCCGCCTCCCTGCAACACGCCAAACACTACAGGGTGAGTTTTTGGGAGCTGAAGCTGGAGAAGCAATAGGGCATCTGTAGCAGATACAGCAACCAACAGCAACAACCAGAGCAGGGCATGGGGTACAAGAGTGGGGCGAATAGATGCGTACCATACCATTATGCTAGCGATGGCATGCCCATGGGTGCTGATGGCTATTGCAGAGTGCCGCTCTGCTGCTCTTTCGCCTGCTCTGAGCTCTCCATTCGCCCGGAAGGGAAGGGGAAGGGATTAGGGGAAGGATAGGCAGGGAGTTATTGTAGGGCACTTCGCAAGAAATGGAAGTGGAAGTGAATGCGAGCAAGAAGCATGTCCAGGCGAGCAACAGAGCAGGAGCCTGGGAAAACAGCAGGGAGAACAACGGCATGCAATGCAAAAAGCGAGTGCTTGATAAGTGCGTGGGAGGGTGAAGTCGCATGGCAGCAGTGACCCAGAGCACCACAGCAGCAAGCTTAGCCAGCGAGGGGTGTACTGGGGAAGAGAGGGACGCGAGCATGGTATGAATGCATTTCTAACCCGCTATACTCTATGTGAGCTCTACTGCTGCAGAGTCATAAGCCACCACCGCCATGCGCCATGCGAGTTACCGAACGGCGATTGGCAAACGGCCGGCAAAATTTTTTGAAGCCATGTGGCAAAAAACGAGGGCGATGGGGAAAACGACGAAGGAGGGTGGGCGGGGAGGGGGGAGAGGGGGGGTGAAGGAGGGGAGGGAAGGATTGGAGGGAATGAGGGTGACTGGGTGAGGGAACTTAGCCATGAGATGTAGCCATGTGGTGAAGCAGACGCAGCGTCAGACCTCCTCGCTCGGTGGACGAGCCTGCGGCTGTCGCGCCAAGTCATGTCCGCACAGCCAAGCTGAGTCCAGCAACGGCACATCGTCGCCATCGTCGCATGCGGGTCGTCGCGATCCCGGCTCTCGGAATGTCTCTTTCGTCGCCGGCCGTTCGCCAATCGCCGTTCGGTAACTCGCCGTTCCTCGGTGGTCGTTCACCTGTCGCCACTCGTCGGTCGCCATTCACTGCTCGCCGTTCGCCGTTCGTTTACTCGCCTTTCGTCGCTCTCCGTTCGTCCCTGGCCGTTAGCCGATCGCCGTTCGGTGCTCAATGTTCGCCGTTCGGAAACTCGCTTCGTAATTCGCCATTCGCTGGCCGTTCGTAACTCCTTGTTCCTCGTTGGCCGTCCGCCGTTCGTCGCTTCCCGTTCGCAGCTCGCTGTTCGGTAACTCGCCGTTCGTAGCTCACCGTTCGTGTGATAGTACTACTATCCTTAACGCTGCTGCGAGGAGGAGTTTCCAGACAGCTAATAGACACGCGTGACCGTCGCCGCTTGCGCCGCTGCTAACTCCTGGTATACTGCTGCTGCTGCTGCTGTCGGACAAAGCTACTACTACAGGAGCTAACGTCGCTTTGTTCCAATGCTGATATTCGGGATAGTCCGGTTATTAGGCGTCCACCGATGCGGCTTCCGCTATAGACTATGGGTATTCTGGCTGACTGGCTGGCTGGCTGACTAGCTGGCTGGCTGACTAGCTGGCTGGCTGGCCGGCTGGTTGTTGGTATTGGCAGACCTAAAGGAGCGAAAGAACACTTTCCAGTACTGAACCAGAACCAGCGAGTCTTAGGTTGCGTAATCTGCGATTGTGCTTCTCTAATTTTGGGACAAATTCTAACGAGGCGAATGAAGGCGAAGCACCTTGGGAATGCCATGAGGATCTGGTCTGACTTGCCAGAAGTTGAGTTCGCCCTTGCTGCTCTATGCTGCTGAAATGAGGCGGAAACCGAAGCAGGTGGGAGGGGAGAAGCGAAGATTCAATCGACTTCGCCAACGAATTACAACGGCGTACTCGTACTGTGTGACTTTTGCGACCTCGATGGAGTGCATCGCAGCGCAAAGCGCAAGTTTTTGAATGTTCGCGCGGCCATTGAACCTGACAACCACCATTGTCTAATGGGCACGTGGTATTCATCTGAAGAGCCTCCAAGTAATCCAACGGACGAGCATACTGCTGTGGGGCCCCGGAATCCCATGAGGATGACGTGTTGTCTTCCCCGATAAGGCGTGAAGGTAGGAACTTCAATCACTATTTATACCTTTGTGGTAATTACTCGTTAAACCACAATTGCTACGTCTTATAATCAAAATTGTATCAATATCACTTATCTTACCACAAACCTCCATGGGTGATCATACACACCAAATTTTTGCAGTCACCAACATCGTGATCATAATCCTCCCATGTGTCATGATCATTATAATTACATACGTTACATACGATGTTACCCTGCACAATTTTCTACTACACATGGT